ATTTAATTATATAGAACTGTTCATGATTATAATATCCTTAATAATTGTACATAGAAATGTACATAGAAATTACAATAATGACACTGATAATAATAAAAATGCATAGAAAAATCAAAGCACTTGATTGTATCTTCTTAATATTGAAGAATTGTGAAAACGGAAGATATCTCTGAGATTGCACGATTTAATGAGCTTGGATAACGAATGAAATGAAGATTTGAGTTTGAAAGCGTCACGGCTATTCGATCGCTAATTTTATTTGAGTCGACGTCGACACACCATCGGGCATCGCTGCCGCCACCGTGAGTTCTGTTTCGCGATACGTGGAGTAAGTTCGACTCGTGAATCAACCCGAGTGTGTACTCGGGGAAAAATCCAATACCGGACGGGATATTTGCGACCGAACGTGTCCGAGCACGAATATCGTGACGCCGGTGATTTCCTTTTTTAATCAGTATCCTATTTCGCGCTAACGTAATTACGAACGTGCAAAACAGTAAACAGAATTATTATTTTTTTTTTAATATTGGATTTATAACAATATTTCGTAAACCACAGGAGAAATTTTGAGCTCAATGTAGACTTACGGACATAATTAATTATTGTAAAAATATGACGATTAACCGGTCAGATTTTTAAACGGGATTCTATTTCGCAATTCATAATTGTAGCAAGTAGGGACGTATATAATATATTTTTTCGTGAAAGTATAATGCGCGCCGGTAAAGTTAACAATAAACGTCAGTGATGAAATCTTCCGAATTTGAGCAAGAGTAGTGCATCTGATTCCAGGTACAAGAGCGGCGTTAATCATCTGACGGACTTCATCGGGGTTGAACCGAGCAAGAAGCGAAAACGGCGGACTTCCTTCACGCCTCAGGCTTTGGAATTGCTGAACGCACATTTTGACAGGAACACTCATCCTACTGGTTAGTTATGCTTTATGTCTATCTGCTATGATTAAGTCTCTTGCTATTAGAAGAATCTTATTAATTCTTCTTCGGAGTAATTTTGTGTACTTTAATACATTAAAAGTTTCTATTCTATTTTTTTTTTTACAGGTAACGAAATCACGACTTTAGCGCATCGATTAGGATACGATAGGGAAGTGATAAGAATTTGGTTCTGCAACAAGAGACAAGCTCTGAAGAATACGGTGCGGATGATGTCGAAAGGCGTTGTATAGGGAAGGATTACATCTACCGAACAATCGGGCAGTATATGAGAAAAGCTTCAAACTGCGAACGATGAAGAACACGTTTCGTAAAATTTTCCAATATATCGCGTTTTCCTCTAGCATAAATAAACAATTCTAACGCGAGAACAATTTTCCGTAATTTGTTACGGAAAGTTACAAGTAAGAAAAAAAAAAACATTTATTAAAGAAAACCACATTTATCAAATTCGCTCCAGTACGGAAAGATCGTTCTAGATCGAAGCGAAGTCCTTCGAATATTGTGATCGCAGGTGTATACGACATCTATATATGTAAATAGCTTTAATCTACGAATATGTGATGTATACATGAGTCGAATATCGAAAATTGATAATCTGAAATCGTTGTCTCTCATTTGGTACCAATCCGTCGCGCGCTTCCAATTTTCATAGATATATATTCATCGGAAAACACTAACTGATCCAGTTTCGAATTTCGAACGAACGGACTATCGGCAAGCATTAACGAATTGATGAACGTAAATGTCCCGATCGAATTACATGAACAGTTTGTCACAAGCAACTGTAGAAAAATCGCTTCTAGACTTTTCTAATTAATTACAGTTGCTTGATTGCAATATTTGCCGGGACACGTACGTTTTTCAGAATACAATCTATCAAAACCGGGCGGAAAGACATGTAACTCGTCGCACGAATAATAACTAATAAAAATTTAGCTACCTTTAAAATGGTTACTTACAAGAATGCTAGTACATAAGCGGCGAACGTTTAAACAACTACGAACAATTGATTCCTAATCAACTAGCGGAACAATCGAAAATGCACTCAAAATGGAAACACTCGAAGGGTGATAATCATCCGCGTGCAACAAAAACTTCGACTGTATTCTGCGATCGAGGGATTCTGAGATAACGTTGTTGCTCGTTGAGTTTGCGCAAATAAAATATCGCTTAAAAACAAATATGAAGTAAAAAATCATTGTCTCTATTGATTATATAATATCATTCCTTGCATACATATATATGTGTGTGTGTGTGTGTATGTATATATATA